ATTCGATCCACCGCCAGGCCCAAGGGCAAATCAGGCGCATACCTGCTCAAGAATATCACGCAATAGATCGACGAACTCCGAACACAAGACCTGAATACCGAGATCAGATGGGTCCCTGCGCATATAGGAATCCAAGGCAACGAAGACGCAGATCGAGCAGCAAAAGAAGCGACAGGTTGGAGAGAAGGCGGCCTCACAGGACCGAGAGCAGTAGAACCACAGCAATTATACCCACTTCGATCAACCATGAAGACATGGTCTCATAAAGAGACCATCAAATCATGGGAGACAAGCTGGGTATCCGAGACACGCGGCCGAGCATCCTTCAGGCACACGCCCAAACCTTCGCGCAAGGTCTTGGACCTGCACGATGGGCTCATCAAGAAGCGCAGCGCACTCCTCATGCAGCTGCGTACAGAGAAGATAGGCTTCAACGACTTCCTCTTCGGCCGAAGAGTACCAGGTATCACCAGCAACAGATGCCCCTGCGGATCGGATCGACAAACGGTAGCGCACGTCCTCTTACGCTGCCGTCGACACCGCCAACTCCGGGACCAGGAACTGGGACGACTCCGAGGACGCAACAATCTCCGGAAGCTACTGAACGAGCGCAATGCAGCCGCCAAGGCAATCAAGTTCATCGAACTGACTCAGATCCTTGGGCAATTTCTGGATCGAGACCTTAATAGACAAAGCTGAGCACTGGGGGGAGACTGTAGGTACGCGGTCGCGAAAGAGAGGGCTTCACAACCCGAGAGAGCCTCGAATCAAGGATCCATTAGCATTAAACCACTGCGTACATGGGCCTGCCAGCAAATGTAAATAGTGGTTAGAGAGAGAAAAAGCGGGAATTTTGGGAACAGCTGGCCAACGATGTTTGACGTTGGCGAAGTGGGGCACCGCGGAACAATACTGATCCGCGAGACTTCGGCTGTTCGCCGGACCCCGTTATCCGGGCATAATCGTTTAGATGATTACAACCGAGTAGGATATAATCAAATCAAATCAAATCAATGTTCAATATTGTTCACAAGATACCCAGCAGCTGACCGACCTGCATAGAGCTCACCGGATCACCCCAGCCACTCTACCCAGGTAGAGTAGAAGAGATACCTCCTCTACCCAACCCGGTAGAGTGGGTAGAGCTCCCTCTACAATGCCCAAGGATGGCCATCACCCAGGCCGGTACTAGCATCCATTAAGTATCCGCCATAGACAAGCTGACGATCAAGCGGGCCGATGTTTTCATTCGAGTCCTGCCCAAAGTTCATTGCGAGCAGCTCGGGTGGGAAAAAGGTGGGCGTGTGTGCGTGGTGAGCAAATGGAGTCATGTTGGCCGGGCTTGTAGGTGACATGGTGGTGCTGAAATCCGGGTTCTGCTGGTTTGATGTTGCGAGAGGGTTGAAGCCTGCTGCACCTGTAATTTGCAATCCCAAACTACCCGAGAACTTGTGTTCCTCGGAGACTGCGTCTGCGTCTGTACTCTGCAACGAATCGAGATGCTGGCCAGGTTGTGCTGGCAAGCCAGTCTGTTTCTTGGCGCTTTGCTTTCGTCTCGGCCCTGCTGCGCGGATAGTATTCTTATTCTCAACCCTTCGTGTTGTTGGAAGCGTGGAGACGTATTCTTCCATTGATTGCAGTTCGGGCTTCGCTTCGAGGACGCCGTCTGCTCTTGAATCTTTTCGCTTGTGAGCGGCGGGGTCCATGAACTCAGCATCAGAAAGACCGTGAGGGTAGCGGTTAAACCAGTCTCCGTATTGAAGGAAAGATGACTGTGTGGCTCGTTCTTGGACATTCGCAACAGCTCTCATAGCGTCCAAGGCATTCCGATACTGAGTACGAACGTTCTCCACCATCCAGTGAAACATGCCCCAATACTTCTTCATTTTGTGAAGATACTTGACATTGGTCATCAAATTGGCCTCGCCTGTTGGCTTCATGGAGGGATTGCGAGAGATAATACCCAAGATGTGAACTGCTGTCGAGGAAAAGGCGCAGTATCCAACAAACGGGGCCGAAACAAAGCATCGCGACTGTTCAGCCTCACGGAGAAGCTCGGATATTCGGTTCGCAGCGTTGAAGGTCCTCTTGCTTGCTTCAGAGAAGAAATCGTCATGTACACCATGTTGCTTTCGTGCTGGCATAGCAGCTCGACTCACAAAGAGAATGTTATGCTGCAGGCAGATATGCATGAAAAGGAACTGACTTGCCGTGTTCTCTGTCTTGTGGACCTCGAGGTTCTCTGCAGAGTACTTGAGTGACAAGGGCAGACTAGCCTCAAGGTTTACAGCATCATTGAGATGCTTCACGTAATGAGACTCGTCTTCCCACATTGGATTGAGGTCTAGATCCTTACCCCCTTGGCTCAGGTAGGTGATGATCCGCCCCCATAAGGCAATGGCTCGAATCAGGAAGGCCGAAACTCCCATGTTCTCTCGTGCATCAGCGATTTGTCCGCCGTTGAGCGACGCCGGATGAGGTACTTGACCGTCCAACATTTCGGTGGGCGCAGGGATGTCGAATTGGAAGGACTTTTCATTTACTGGCAGAGGAATCTGCATTGTATCCTCCCTGATGAATATGGGTCGATCTGTCCCAGAAGAGGTGAAGCGATCCATGAGAAAGCAGGCCCACATTATGCGTCGCCGATTCTCTCGATCAATGAAGCTGAGCTGCGTTTTGGTGCCATTACGGCCCAAGGGATCGTATTCCAAGTCTTTATGTAACTGGAGAGCGAAAGCCATTCGGATAGCTTGTCCACCCAGGGCCCAGCTACGGCTGCCCTGGCACGTTCCAAATTCATGAAGGCTCAAAATGAGAAGACATGTCAAGATGGTGAGGTTTGGCCATTCGTATCGTCGGGTGCAAATATCTCGAGCGTGTGATGCCCATTCTTCACCGCGTAAGAATTCAGGCCCTGAAGAACTCACTAGGGGGTTTGAGGTAAAACGAGCAGCTACGGCGCACACTGTGAGAACAAGTACCGGAGGTAGTGTGCCATTTCTGTTGACAGTTAGCAGGATACGTGAGATTCAACCCCAAAAGAACTCACTTTAGCTTTCGCATATAGCTTGGCTTGTGTAGAAGATGGTAAGATTGACCATAGATGTTGTCGAAAAACACCTCTGCGAGATGCTCCTGTATCTCCTTGGAGGGGAGTGCTTCGGTGCCTTCATGTTGCAGCTTATTCTCCTCCCCTTCCTGGACTTGCAAGCTGCTGGGCCCATCATCGCCCTCAATCTTTGGCTCCGAACGCACTTTCGCCCAAGCTTCCAGATCAGGCCCGAATGCTTCCTCGGCGCCGCGCTTCTTGGTTGGCTTACTGGAAGGTACAGTTCCTGGTTTCGCTGGTTTGACCACGGGGCGAGTTACAGATGATGCGACTTCGTGATCCGACTTGGGTATGGCCTTGATGACGCGTTCTTCCATGCGCTTTGGTCGCTTATCGAGCATAGCCATGCAATCTGTCCGAGGCGCAGCCTTCCGAGTCGTAACCTTGTAGACACATGGGATACATGAGCGTAGACAGTCCTTGCAGGCGGGTTTCTCGCCTGAACAACGGATCTTCTTTCGGCGATATGCAATGCAAGCAAGCGGGAGGCGTTTTCTTTCCTTGCTAGCCTTTGTCTTAAGTCCACTCCACGGAGGTGTGGCATTGGCTTTATCCTCCTTAGGGTTACCGCCTAGATCTGTGCCATCCGCAGAGTTACGGAAAGCCAAACCAAACTCATCGGTAGTCGAGTCTTCGAGGGCGTTGGGTGCGGGAGATGTCCGATCTGGGGGGGGGTTGGAGCCTTCCATGCTCTGGCTGCGGTTGCCCGTAGGCAAGGTGCCAAACGGCAGACCGCTATGTGCAAGGCCAGACATGGCCTGGTGCTGGGGAAACGCAGGAGGAGATTGGAACGTGTGGATGTGATTTACTAGGGAAATGAGAGAAGACTGGCCAGGAAGACCATAGTAGGCAAACGCAAAATCGTCGAAGTGCGTGAAATCCATTAAGGCGCTGTGAGAGGGAGAAGGCACAGCGTGCAATTCAGGAACGTCGCGATAGAGTTGGGGACCGGAATCGAAAGACTGTTGGGCATGTTGAGGGTTCAAAACGGCACGGCCGGACATGGCTCTACCAAAGACAGAGTTACGACGAGGCCAACCGAGGCCGAGAATATGGCGATGGAAAACAAATATATCGGACCGTTGTGGTGACGATGGTGGAGCGAAGCGACTGAGTTAGGCAGGGGTTTGGTGGCTGCGAATGCAGTCCGACTGGGCAAAACAAAGCCTTTATAAGAGGTTGGCTGGTACAGCTGCTGTGCAGTTTAAAAGGTTGCAGCGCAAGAGCGTTGAGGTTGAGGTTGAGGTTGAGGTGACCCGAAGTCGTCCGGAGAGTTTATGGAGAAGCAAGCAACAGGTACGTATGTAGTCGGTGGCTCCCCGCACTGGAGCTGGGGACAGTCTGCGCCTGACATCGCACATCACCCAAAAGGGGACTGTATTGTACGCACCAACCCTACAGGGCTAGAGACTCTACCATATGATTTACAAGTCTGGTTGGTTGCAATATCATGATGGACGTATGAATATCCTGCTGCCTTGAACACTTCCCTACTGTAGGATGAGCATGGGGCAAAAAGGCATGGTCAGGGTTTACAGCTGCAGTATCTGTCCCCTCTTGATTGTTTCTCAGATAGTGGTAGGCGGTGACAATACTGAAATTAGTTGTCTCGTCCGTGAGTGACTGTGGAAACGGAGAAATCTTTGTGCAAGAGGCCCTGATAAGTGGCAATGCCAATCAATCACACATACCAACTGCCGACACGGAAAGTAAATCACAGTCATGCTATTGGTTTACGTGAGACTGTCCATACTGAGAAGGTGGTAGCTTATTATAAACTTTGGACAATGAAAATGAAACTACATGGTCTAAGGTTTATCACATTGCCTTTGAGGAATCAAACTTATGCACGTTGTTTTCTTACTAATTTCCAGTGGAAGCTTAATAATCTTGGGACTTGTTCTTTTTTAAGATAAATTGGCAGAAATAATCGCCGTGCCAAGGGGTGATTATCCCACATAGGATCCGACTACTTACTCTCTCGCCTTCGTAAGTCAACCAATTGGGAAATTGTGAAACAGATTAGCTAGGTAAACGATCAATGCCGTGAGCGCAGGCCGGAGTAACGGTCCTGACGCGAGGCCTAGGCAAAGCAACCAAACATTTCGGGTGCCGTGCCACCTCAGGCTCTTCTCAAGTTCTCGATTGCAGCAGTATGTTTGTGCTTTGATTCGTCCAGCTTTTGCTTGGCTCATTTGTGCAACGAACTTCAAAACCTTCGAAGTAAGGAGGTACTGGATCTCTCGGTCCGACACTTCATCACCTTCCTTCTAGTCGGGTCACGAGACAGCACCTTTGGTCAGGGTTCAGGGGCAATAGCGTTCAACCGTTAGCGCTAACCCCATTACTCTGGAAAATATAGTGAGGCGGTTCTTTCCGGGCATCGTTCCAGGGATCCTAGTCGCTTTTGTCAAAGTGCTGTAAGTGATTATAGATGAGATGCATTGCCGCTTCCGAGAGGGTGGATCGAGGGGGTCAGGCAAATCAACCCGGGTTCTAACACCGACAAATCTTAAACAATGGAGCACAAAGTAAGAGCCGGATCCCGCGGCTAATAGTGGGGTCGTTCGCTTCCTAAAAGGTCGCGTTCGAAGCGGCAACGGACAGGTCCGATGCGCCACAAAACCTGAGGCATTCTACGCCTGAACCCTGAACCTCTGAACTTTTGTCAGTGGAGCACGGATTGATCCACAGCTCCTAAACCTACTTGGTTAAGTAAGTTGCGCGAAAATGAGACCTCGCATGCCCTCATCACCGGCAAATAACACATCTGCTTCCAAATCCACATTTCGCTTTCTTGTTCGATCCACTCATTTGTATCCTCCTTTGTGAACTTTTAAGCAGACGAAGGAGGGGTTTAACCCGCCGTTCAAATAAAGATACAGTCTCCTTACAATATGTCGGCTGAGGCTTGAAATACTTAGGGACCACGACCGTAGGGTACTGAGCTGCGTCCTGTTATCTTCCCGTATCTTTACCTTGAAATATCTTGTTGTCTGCAACACTATAGAAAGACCATCGCAAACATGGAGCTTAACCCCACAGTCGAGCTTGCCTTTACCCAGCCAGACGTCATATATCCGTCTCCAAACCGCCTGTTCCTTCGACCGCATCAATGCGACAACTGCCAGGCTGGGTCAAGACTGTCAAAACTGAACCATCTAATCTATTGTGATTTAGATTGTTTTGACGTCTATCCCTCACATAATGACTCCACATGTGGTCCGCTCATACGCCAGCTAATCACCGGTACCCCGCAAGATCACGCCACAGGTGATAATACTCCAGCAGTCAGTTGTGATAGAATTGAGTGCAGCGTATGTGCCAATTTGGATGTGGCATGTGGTTTCGATTTATCACAAAGAACCTATAATCATCTATCTGAGGATAATATAGGTAATTGGATGTTTAAGGAAGCAGATATCATTGCATTAGTTGCATAGCCCCTCGGCCCCTTAACTCTCAACGACACCGTAACAAGGTCTCCTCCACATCAACGGGCAGATTCGGATACCCTCGTGGACTGCGATTTTCTTGACGGTGCACTTGAGGTGCTTGAGACGAGCGAACACGCACGACTTCAAGAATTGGCCATTTATAACAGTCCCTCTCGGCGCCCGTATAAAGATTTTGAACTCTATGTATCATCAAATTGGTCGGATGATCTAGGTGGCCAATTTTTTAGGAGGACCTGGGTGACTCTATAAGACAAGGAATATGACGAATTAACAAGTAACAAAGACGATATCTGTTACTGTGGGTATTCTGAGATCGATATACATTTGGGGAACAGGGAGTTTGAGGGTCAGGTAACAGCTGGCGCTGCTTGATGGAGTTACTTTCTTTTCGATGTGTATGTTATCGGCATCATCAGTCATGTAAAAACCACATTTGCAACACAATCCAGTCATTACCAAGGCTTGCAAGATGACTCTTTTCCTAAGTCTAAGATGTAAATCCACTGACCCTCAAACTCCCTGTTCCCCAAATGTATATCGATCTCAGAATACCCACAGTAACAGATATCGTCTTCATTCTATAGTGAGGTATTGATTAAGGGAATTGATAGACCGACATGACGGTTTTGATACAGAGGCATGACTTTATATAACATTCAATTGGTCAGTTCTGCGCGGACCCATAAATACTTCCTGACCAACCCAGCGTGACCAGCTCTCTTAACATGACCTTATTCTTACCTCAAGCCCTCCCAGTGCTCAAGATCTTGGCATAGTAGGGTGTCTCAAGAGGTCTCGTTTTGGATGGAAAATTCTTGTTTGTTTATTGCTCAGGAAACACGTCTAACGCTCTACTCTCTGACTACTATAGAAGGAAGTATATTTTCATCGCTGGCAACTAGCTCCCATTGACTCCTCGTCCTCCGACCGCTAGCACAGACTCCTGTTGTTCTGGAACAATTCTAGTCTTTTGTACAAGTGGGTGAGTGCGTCATGGCCAAAGATCAGGCAAGAAGAAAACACCGACGTGATAAGAGCGGGGGGGCACAGTTTCCCTTCGTCCGACTCCACGTTTACGTGCGATGATGTTGCCACTACTACGTTCTGTTGATTCCCCCCTGCTCGTCAGTTAGCGAAGATATCGTTGGTGATTGACGGGTCTTGTGTGGTTTGCGGCAATTGGAAATGGGGCAGGTTTCGCCAACAATGCAACAAAGAGTACTGCATCGGAGAGACCGGATTGAAGAGACCTGCGGATTGAAGCTTGTGTATGGGCGGCAAGACGAAGCAGAAAAAAAATGCAAAGTATGCGATTAAGTGACGAAGAAGGAAAACCGGATTAGAAGGACGACCGAAAGAATCGCTCGGCTTCGTGAATGGAAGCTTTTGGCCAGCCTTGAAGGATGTGACGAAGACCTGGCTTCGCTGAAGGGTTAAGTTTTGACACTGCGCGAACAACACAGCACAAACATGTCTGGAGGAGCCGCCCTTCCGCCTCGAGTCCGGAGGCCCATTCGAGCTCCGTGCCAGCATTGGCGGTCCATTCTCTTGCCCGCCGATTCCCGTCGGCCTTACTGAAAAGCAAGATGACCTACCATCACCAATGCTCTTCGAAATCTATGCAGCCAAGGTATAATCTTCACGGCCTCAGGAAACAACTGCGTTAGTAATCTAGCTGCATGCTTTAAGTACCACTGCGGGATGGAATATCCCACACACAAAAAAAAAAAAAAATCAATCAATCAATCAACACATTTGCTGCCGCTCATCACATTCACTTTAACCCCTTTTCAGCACGCTCAGTGCGATACCATCTCTCTTGATAAACATTCACGCTAGAGTGGGCAGGGGGCAGAGCGACAGTTTGGGGTACATGACGATTTTATAAATAGACGTGCAGGGTGATTGTTGTTTATATTGCGCAGTAGTGCTGTGTGAAAATTATATTTTTATGAAACTTTGTTGTTCATTATTGAGATGAGAGCTCTTCTCGGGTTTATATCTCTAGATAGTTTCATCTAGGACTTTCAGACTAACAGTCTGAATCCTGAAGATAAGGGGGATTCCCGGATTTTCCAACAGTGATTGACTGTAGATTTGCTAGCAAGGCGCTCTCGCGACTCGTGTCCATCGGTCAGCATTCCACTCTAAGAATGCCGTCTTTGCCAACCAAATATCCTCTGAAAAGCTTTGACTTGCCTGACTTCGCTTGCTTGAATCACCGGTTGCCTTCTTGGCATCCATCGTCTCCGACTTCCACGCTCGCTTGTTCGGCACCAGCTGCGCCAACGGACGCCGAGCCGGCTTGAGTAGCAAAGCCCGTTCAAAGTCGATCACCATAACTCCCTTGATCTCAGGATTGAATAACATGTTTGCAAGTCGCACATCTTTGTGGACCACGCCCTCTCGATGCATGGCTCTTAAGGACCGAATGGCCTTGTCCTCGAGTGACCTGTTGCTGTCGCTAATTCTCTGTGCGTTATTAATGCTGCAGCCTCCCTAGGACAAAAATATTATGTGTACCACGTAGACCCGGTGGTCATAGTAGTAAGTCTTATTTATCGATCGAAGGTTAATTGCACCCAGGAAAACAGGCACGTGGACGCCTTGGATTAGTTTAAGATGCTCATAGACAGCAGCCTCGTGCTCAAGATCTCTGATAAAAGCCTGCACTATGCCCTTGCTGATAAAGGTGTAGCCATGCGCAAGTAGGGTCACTTGGAAGAGCATACCCCGCGCACCACCCTCCCCTAATGGCCTGATCTCGTCGTCGAGCGACTGTTTTAGCTGGTTCTAGAGTAGGCGAAGCTACTCCTTATGATCGACAGGATGACGTGCGCAGGCGGGAGCACAGCTCTTGCAGTGAAGTGCCATGTTCGGGCACTTTGGGTCGAGAAAACCACCCCTGACTATCCCGAGAAGATATTTCTGCGTATAGTACTGCCGACCCTGCTTGCCGCCTCCTCCGCGCGGCCGTAATGCCAGTCGCTGGCTCCGCCTAGTTCCTTGTCTTGTGTTTCGTCTGGTTGGCGTAGGCGTGTCTGGTGGCCTGGATGCCGACTTGTTATTAGATGGTTCCTGCCCGTTGTCCTTCCTTAATGACCCCTCGCCAATCTGGCACATAGCAGTTCGACGTGTCCTTTTGCGGGGCAGGGCCGGCGACTGATCAACGCCCTTGTAGGTGGTGGGTTCATAAGTAGGCGAGTAGTCTGATGACGCCGATCGTTCATTTTCTGGGATAGAACGCAATGTTGATTCGAAGTCCTTAGCCCATGTCTTTAAGTTCTTCATAGCCTTTAGACGTTCCTCCTGCCTATTCTCTTGTTGTTTTCCAGGCGAACCGAGAGCTATAAGGGTGAATGCTAGATATTGGCCGACAGCCGTGTATATATGGAGGTTGTTTGGATGAGCCGATACCTCTGGACCAGGCTCTGCTAAGTGATAATACAGAGTCTTGGGTTTGTCCTAGTTAACTTTAAGAAACACGATAGCCTCGCCAGTAGTAAGAAGACCATATTTAAGGCCACTTTTAATTATGTAATAATATGTCTGCGTGATGGCAGATGCCATCAGCTTCTCTGCGTAGTACTGGAAACGCGCGTCAGGGTCTATAGAAGTTAGAACCGTCCTTTGGTTTATAACTTCCTTGTAGATATCTATAGCGCAGAGACTAAGATGAAGATGCAGAGCGGTCAACTTGTAAGGCGGCTTATACTCGGAAATGTAAACCATGGTGTGCCGGGAAGATAGGGTATTATCGGATTGATAGATGCAGATTTGATCTGGTTGCAGCTGGTTGAGATCTCTTCGGTGGTCCGGCGTCCGTGGTGGTGTCGATGGGGTCTCCCTGTCCATGACTTCCTCAGCGACGTCGCTGAGGGCATGGGGATGGTTCTCAAAGACGATACTATCTCTGATCTGAAAAGCCCTGCTGACCTCTTCTACCTGTTTGAGCTGTTGTATGATGGCTCTAACCGGATCCTCCACGCTATTATGTAGGAAATATTTGAGCGTCTTCTCGTCTGCTATTGGCCGTTGAGAGATCCTGTTCCCTAAGCCGGCCAGGAAGTTTTGGTTCTTGAAAACACGGCTTTCGGTAGGAAATGAATCATAGAGTATACCGAAGGTAAGCTTCTGTTAATCAAGGAAGTCGGGCCATGGCCTAAGGTTTTTAGGATACTACTTGTTATGCAGGTTAGTGATAGAGCCCCTCGAAGTCAGTTTTAGATCTGTTTCGATGATGAAGCGAGAGAAAACGGAGGCATGGCAAGCTGCCATGTATTCGTTAAGTGTCGTGAGTCGTGTTTGTTCCTCTGACGCTTCGGCGCGTTGCTGTTCTCTCTCGGCGCGTTGCCGCTCCTCCTGTCGTTCTCTCT